TTAAATGATATCCTTTCATTATTAAAATGTCAAAAATACAACTCAAAAGTGGGTGAAAATTAGGATAAGGGCTTCTACAGATAGTATCTTGAATTAAATTGCCCAACATTCAAAAAAACTAGAAAACTAAATTTTTCAGGGTTGGTCACAACCCATTAGTATTTTCTATTAAGGTCAAGCAACTACATTTTCCATTCCTTGAAAATGAATAAATCAAAATAGTTTTCATCTTAAATTCTCAATGAAGTCCTTTCTTAAAAAGCTGCTATGGGAGGGTGGAGGAGGGTATTGTTTGGTTTGTCTGTATTCCTGTTTGGGTTTTTGTTTTGGCTTCCCTCAAAAAACTTTTTTCTTTCCTCTTAGCTAATTTTAAGATTCGAAAGCTCACGGCATGTTATAATTAAACATTTCCTAGGAAGTGCACAGTCTGCTTAGCACATTAACTCAGGCATAAACCAGCTGTGACCACGCTGCCTCCCAGTCTGGATCAGACCAGTCTGGTAAAGGATAATCATGATGAAAAACCCACTGAAATCCCAACATTATTTTATGCTTCATCACCTAAGATCTTCAATTCTTATGTAATTTTTTTAATCTTTAATTTTGGTCTGAGAACAATGACCTAGAAATAAAAAGATATTCCAGTTCTGAGAATTAAATAATTTTATCTTCATTCTCAAAGGCTCCTACCTTCAGAAAACTCAGAAGATGAGACAGAAGTCACCGAGACTGTTCCATGCCAATAATTACAGTCCACAACTTCCCATCCAATAACAACTCCTATTTGGTAAAGAAGGAACAAGAGGACTGCCTATATCCTTATGTCTTTTTTTATTGGCTGGTTGGTTGGCTAGTTGTTTGCTTAAAAGCAAAATGATATGTGCATATGGCCATGAAGGTAGGAATAGCTTCCCCCTACAACGAATGTTTGAACTATCCAAAATGGTAGGCCAGGAACGGTGGCTCACGCCGGTAATCCTAGCACTCTGGGAGGCCGAGGCGAGAGGATCATTTGAGCTCAGGAGTTCGAGACCAGCCTGAGCAAGAGCAAGACCCCATCTCTACTAAAAATAGAAACAAATTAGCTGAACAACTTAAAATATATAGAAAAAAATTAGCCGGGCCTGGTGGCACATGCCTGTAGTCCCAGCTACTCGGGAGGCTGAGGCAGGAGGATCACCTGAGCTCAGGAGTGGGAGGTTACTGTGAGCTAGGCTGACGCCACGGCACTCTAGCCTGGGCAACAGAGTGAGAATCTATCTCAAAAAAAAAAAAGTCAGAGTAGGTTGATTTTTGTTTGTTTGTTTGTTTGTTTCTTTGAAAAGAATTTAATTAAAAATTATAAAAATAAAAATTAAAAAATTTTAATTTTTTACTAGCCACTAGCCACACGTGGCTATTGAGTATGTCAACTTATGTCTAGAGTCACCCAGGAACTAAATTTTTAGGTTTATTAATTTTATTAATTTGAATTTCAATTTCAAAGCCGACACTCGTTTGTGTTATTAGGAAATCTTTCAGCATGTTTGGAACAACTTGGATATGTGAATCTACTTTTTCACCTGTAAATGTTATGAAATCTAAACACAGATCAGTTATTTTTGATAAAAATTTAGTGGCTGAATGGTACTATGTGTGAGTATAAAATGCATACCATATTTAAAGAATTAATAGGAAAGATAATGTAAAATATCTCATTAATTTTAAAATATTGACTACATGTCAAAATGATAATACTTTGGATATACTGGGTTAAACATTTTATTAAAATTAATTACACTGGCTTCTTTTTGCTGTTTTAATGTGCTACTGGAAAACTTTAAATTTTAAAACATGTATCACTTGCATTACATTTCTGCTGGGCAGCACCAATAAAAAATAATACTAACCAGTGGTGTAAGTATCTGAGATGGACCAGTGAAGTAGTTTAGAAAAGCTGTGTAGTGTGAGGAAAAAACAAAGAGGCCAGACAGGACTACATTCAAATCCTAGCTCTGACACTGATCATCCAAAGGCACTTGAACAAGTCATACAGCTTCCTCAGCCTACATTTTCTCATATATGAAGTGGAAAGAATAGTGGCCTAGCTTAAACAAAATGTTTTTAAAATACCTGGCATATCATAGATATAAATAAACAGTTGAATAAAGAGTTCTTCTTCAAGAGAAAACAGAGATTTCAAGCAATTACTATGAATTAACTGCTTCTGATTGTCTATGTCTTCCTACTCATGGGCTATAATCTGTGGATACTTCCTGCTCATAATACCTGTACAACTTTATTATTATCTTACATTTTATAGATGAATAACAGCAACCTTTATACTCAATACTATTATCAAAATGTTCAGTAAATGAAAGTACTGTTTCTATTTGCATTTTAAATGCTACAATGAAATGCATTTCCAGAAAGACCATCATGATTTTTATAAACAAAAATTCACCTAAAAGAGACTTATGTCAGAATACCTATGTCTTCTTCAAGATTTCTACATACCTATCATGGTGGGACCAAGTATTCGATAAGCTCTAAGATAAACTGCTCTAAGATACTAAGTTAATAATATATAAGTATTAAAGATGTAAAACATGGGCACCAGTAATATTTATTTAAAAATTAATTCTATCTCATTGTTATATTTCTTTGCAATTTGAAAAGTGCCTGCAAATTGTTATTCTATGAAACAATACCATAATCATCATAAGATTAGAAAAGATAAACCTAGGACAAATAAAATTAAACACTGCTTCATAAAGTAAATGGTAAAACTGTAGAAGGAGTTGCTTTGTCACTAAAAAGTAATATATGGGCTGAAAATATCTATTTCAAAATGTTTTAGATATATTCATAACTAAAAAAATTAATAACGGGTAACTACTGGAAAGTGAGAAGTTTGAAAGTCATATTTCATCTTTCAGCATGATGCCAAGAAGACCTTTCTTTTCCACAGTGACTCTTGGCAAAATGCTGAATAATGACTAGATGGCTTAAAGATTAACTCACTATAATTATTCTTATGTTTCCCTGAAAACTAATGGATCTCTCCTTTCTTCAATCTGCCTCTTGCCCTTTTTTCTCCTACTCTTCCATTTGGTCCGTTTATCATTTTTTCTCTTCATTCATTTGATCAACATTTATTGAGCCCCTACTATGTTGGGCTATGCCAGCAGTTCTTGAACTTTACTAGCCTGTTATATTATTCAAACAAAAGCACTGAGGATGGTAATAGAGAGGTGGAACATATTTTTAAATGTTTTTCAAATGTGTTGGGTTATATGTGTGCGTGATCCCAATCATCTGATTTATCACCAAAATAAATGTGAAGTTCAGTTACACAGCACCCAAGTTCATAAAAATTAAGTTGTTAGTTTCAACATAAATTAAGTTTTTCTAAAATAAACTGTTATTTTAGCTTATACCAAGTCACATAGCTAAAATCCAAAGTTCGGTTATGGCTTTCCAACTTATTGCAATAAATTCCCAAATCTTCGATTTTATATTAACACAAATACCTCCTTATCCAGAGCACATTTTACCCCTGTAACTCTCAAGAGTTTTCTCCAAGTGGTTCAAGTTATGCAATAGATCAGATAAAGTTTCCACTGAAAAACCTCCTGTTCGTTAATTCACACCTAAGAGGGAATTTCTGGGAAACAAAATAAAAAGGACATCAGCTGACCTCATGTGTTTATTAGAGAAAAGCTTTTCTTAGTTGTTGAATTATGATTATTTACTTGTTGGTTCTTCCATTAAATTGTAAGCAACTTGAGGGTGGGGTGAGGTCTTACTCTTTCTGTGCCCATTTGAAAAGCACAGGTTTCAAGACAGTTTCTGGATGGTTGGAGAGATTAAAAAAAAAAGAAAGAAATGCTCAGATTTAAGAGTTACCAATAAAATGAGTTTAATCTTTGAGCCTATTTTTCTCAACTCAATAGCTAAAAACATAGGTGTTAAACTTCTAAATTATAAATTGTGTGACCAATAAATTATAAAAAATGGTACTGCATTGTAAAAATAAAATATCAATTAATTAATTCAGCTGCAAAATTAGAGCAGACTTAATTTATGCCAATCACTACTCTAGGCTCTGGGGTTTAAAGACAAGTAAGTGCTGTATATCTAAAGTGTGAAAGGGAGGGCTTGTGCCAATGAATTTATCTGAACTAATCATAATTTTTAAGTCCTTAAACCATTAAAAATAAAGCAGTGCATCTCCTCTTTGGAATGTATTTTCTTCCCCAAGGAGAAGGAATGACAAAAAGGTTTTGCAGTGCTTTATACTTTTTACTTCTTGCTTAGAAAATGCAATCTCCTTATACAAGTAAGATGCCCTCACAATACTACCTTTTTGTTGAGTCAAGTAGGAAGAGAATGCAAAGGAAGAAAAAGATCAGAATCATCATAAAATACAGAAAAGAAAAATATCGGCATGAAGTAAATCAGAACAAAGTTTGGCATAGTGTCGTTCTTACATTAGACTAGAATACTGGAACCATAATCAGCCACTAACCTAAGGCAAGCAGCTGAAAACTGCCCTAAAATGAATAATCCCATTAGACACGTACTTTGTGAGAGCTGAGCTGTCAGTAAAAGCAAACAGTGCAGAAACCCTCTGGATAAATTTATGAGCAGGGTAAAAGCCTTGATAAGTGAAAACTAAAAGCCTGTCATTGGTTGGTCCTCCCGGTGAAGCAGATCCTTCAAGGCACTTTGTAGCTGGCAAGAAGTAGCAACTTCTTTTTAGGCACTAATAGTCTGGTCTGGCAGGTTCATTCATTTGACTTTAGCAGATACTACCTTTGGTTCTTAAGAGAGTCAATATTTTTAACCTGAACAAGTCTAAATGATAAATCAAGAAAATGTGACGACTTTAGAGTACAATAACTGTTTCTAAAGCGAACAACACATGTTTCTTTAATGAATGGAAGAACTGACCAAGCCCTGTAGCAACATCTGCCAGTATTAAACCCACTCCGCCAGATCACCCAAGTTCCACTTACCCCCAACATCTGGTGGAGGTAATGATACTCTGGCCCTTGGTTATACAGCAAGAAGGTTTTCCAGAAAAGCAGGACATTCAGGGAAAGCCAAATGAGCTAAACCAATCAGCAAGGAAGAGAGGAAACAAAAATTGAAAATAACCATTACCTGATGAATTGAAACCACAAGTAAATTCCCTTGACACAGTACTTACAGTGGGACTTAGTAATCGCATAAAGCGTTTTTAACTAACCAGTAAACTGAAAACCACTCAGAGGAAAATAAATCTGACTTTACCCAGCCCCTTCACCTGAGATTAAGCAATTGAGTTGCAAATAGGTCTCCCAAATGAACTGAAGATATCCCCTACAGTATGAAAGGAGATTAAGAAATTAATGACATCACCATATCCAAGCAAACAGAAACAATCTGGGAAAAGAGCATAGGAGGCAAAAAATATTTAAAGGGTTAAGAAAAAGTTGTGTTCACTTTAAGTGACCTCTTCTCTCTTCCTCCACATCTGCTCTCCCATCATTGTGTAGGGGCTGGGGGGGCGGAGTAAGTGGGGGTAGGGAGGAGCGAGTCATTATTATCTCCAACGTAGTAAAGTTTTGTTAATTGAGAATGTTCAAATTAAGAGACAAAACTTCCACTTCCAGCTTCCCACCCGCACGCTCACAGAATGAATCTAAATCTCAGCAGGAGATGCAGGAGAGACAAAACCCACGGAGAGTCTAGCCCGCCATCCTACCAGGCAGAGGTGTTTAACCCCTTCGTTGGCGAGCCAGCTCCTCCAGGACACAGCCATGCCGCCGGCCCCGCCGCGCCGCGCTCTTTGCCGGCCGCGCTCGAAACGGAGCAGGAAGCAGCCCGGGCAGCGGTTACGGCGGTGCGGGCCGCGGGGGGGCCGCGTGGGGACACAGGGTCAAAGACTGAGTGGAAGCCCGAAGGCCCGGCACGCAGCCAGCCCGGGCGAGGTCTGCGCCCCGGAGCCGGGTCTTCCGGGCACCGCGACTCCGACCTGCGCCGGGTCCGCTCTGCGCACTCGGCGGCCCCGACCCCGCGCGGCCAGCGCGCGCTCCGCGGCCCGCGGCCCGGGCTGCACCAGTCTGCGCCGCCGCGCCGGCCCCTTTGTCTGGGGGCGAGCCTGCTGTTGCGGCTGCTGCTGTTCAGGATGTCCTGGGTGGGAACTTGGAGACGTCCTCCGCAGTCTCCAGCCCGGCCTGCTCTGAAATACCGACAAACGTGGAGAATGATACTCACGCTAAAGCGGGGGGGGGGCCTCACCGCCCCCTTTTACACACACACACACACCCCTGGTTCTTTTGGACTGTTGTTTTCTGCAAAAAAGTTCACTCAAAAGGTTTGGTAACGAAATTTGAGCCGGAAATAGCCTTTTGTGTACGAGCGTCCCCCTTCCACCGCCCATCCTCAGCAACTTCTCCAGCCTCAAACAAAAGCCCCCCTGGCAACCCTCACCTAAAGCCTCTCGCTACCTACCCCCTTCTTCACCCCCTTCCCCACCCAATCCCATACTGATGTAAAGATTTTAAGACACTGCTGCATAAAAAGAGACCGGGGTTATGGTTAAAGCTGACGTAATTCTCAGGGGCTTCAGGGAAGCTCAGATTCACTCTATTTAGGAATTCTATTTTACTACCTAGTCTGTTTAGTAAATAATAGGAATCCTCTCAAACTTGGTCCGGAGGCCTAGTGAAGGGTGAGAAAGGTCTGGAATTGATACAAGTTATGTATCCTACACTGCAACATATCGGTATTAGAGTAGAAAAAAAATAAATTATTCATATAGAAGAATGTCTGCTGGAAAATAGGTATTCAATAAAGGTTTATAAAACCTAGAACTTCCCCAAATTTAACAACTGACAAATGGCAGAGAAAGTTTGCCAGTAGTAGCCTAATCTCATAGCTTTCAAGCTCCCTTTTTTTTAAACAAACTACATTTTACAACACATGCTGTAGGATATAATTAAAACTACAAAGTTAAAAAAAAAAAACTACACTGCCTTTACCACATGCAACGTACTTATTTCAATCAATTTAATGAATGAATTAATGATTGCAAACCTCAGTTTGAAAAACTGGAATGAATCCATACCAAGTCCCAGTTAGATTTCACACAATTTTCTTTCTAAGTTTTTTATCTCTTTTTGATATATGACTTTCCTGTTTCACATGTGAACTAAAATAAAATCTAAAGTCCCACAGCAGACTGAATGGACTCTGTCTTTGCCAACAGGACCCCAAAAACACCTTAAAGCTGAGTTTCTGGTCATGAGAAGGGAGGTCAGACAAGCCTTGTCATGTCCCCCACCCTACTTGGAGATATCCTTTGTAGCTCATGAACAGGCCTAAGGCTATACAAGACAAAGCTTAAACCACACCTACAAGTATGTGTATGGTGGCTTGTCTCTGATTTACAGACTTTCTTATCTCAACTTAAAATATTCCAAGCCTTTAGACAAACTTCATTTCTTCAACAAATTACAAATCAAAAGATCTTTAAACCCGCCTATAACCTGTAACCCTCCGCTTTAAGATGTCCTGCCTTTTCAGGCCAAACCAATATATGCCTTCCATGTATTGATTTATGACTTTATGAATAATTCCTGTCTCCCTGAAATGTATAAAACCAAACTGTAACCCAACCACAGGAAGACCACATGGCTCTGTGGGCCATAGTCCCACATACTCAGCTCAGAATAAACCTCTTTAAATTATTTTACAGAGTTTGGGTTCTTTTCCATTGACACATGCACGACCAAATCCAGAAAACTACTCTAGATCTTTCTGGAGTTAGGAGCATATTATTTATAACTAATACTAGTGTCTTATTGACCATGGGATACCTAAAGGAGCAGGAAAAGAGCACACAGAGAATCCCAGAAGTATCACTGCTGGAGGAAAGTCCGCTTCTGGAACCCATTGGTGCTCCTTCCTAGAGCTTTAATTTCAATAGATTGGAGGTGGGGGTGTTCACGGGCAAAATAGTTAAGTTCTTGCCATGAGTTGAGAAGAGTGAGGCAATTGAAAAATAGTAGAATAAAAGATAAGTTTTAAAAGCTCAGCTATTCCAGAACAACAACAAAAAGACAAAAGATAAAAATAATGGCTCCAACTCTTAATATGTACGTACTGTCAGGCACTGTCCTGGGTACTTGGTATACAAAATCTCACTTAATTCTTATAGTAGCTCTCCATGTGGATGTCAGTGCCCTTAGTGTAAAAACGAGGAAAGAGATTCAGAAACTTGCCTAAGGTGGTGAAATGGGGTTTGCTTAAGGTTCCAACAACCCCAAATCAGGTACTTTTGTAAAATGATAGAATGCTATACAAATGTTGGTTATCATATCTAACACTTTTATTTCAAAGTTTATAAAAGGAATCTAGAGTCTGTTTATGTTGATTTACAAGGAAAGGTATAGCAAACCATCCCTAAGGGACAGAAATATTGTCCTGTTACACAGAAACTCTCATTAATGAGATTCTTCACAATATAAATTCCTCTAAGCCACATTGTCTAATGTCTTTCATAAGCTCAGAAAGGCTTCCCTTGAAAGTAATGAGGAGAGAGTTCTGTAGCTATATCAGTAGTCCAAATATCATAATAAAAATCACACTTTTTCCAGGAAAAAACTTCACAAGAAAAACTCAAATGACAAAGACCTTTTTTCTTGGCTGAAATAATGGCAAGCTACTAGTGTCACACTTATCATCTTATGCTAATTATAAACTCTGGCAGTTAGAGATGTCCTTGGCCTATTATTTATTACTTAATAAACACAGAATTTTTTTTGTAAACAGTGTCCTTCAAAATATAAAATGGATGGGGGAAATTTGATGGAAATGTATCCCTTCAGCCTACTTTGTTCCTACACAACTTTATGTCTCAGCTCAGAGGAAAACCTTCCCATGAAGCTTTTCCACTTTCCCTCAATACACACACACTCACCCTTGAAGAGTGCACTCTTTAGTGTGTTCATAATACTCTGTGCACATGATTGTTACTACATTTTCCACACATTAATTTAATTACATGTATGTGCATGTCTAACATTCCTAATAATAAACTGGACTTCTTAAGAACAAACATCCTGTCTTATTCGGTTTTTATTCCAGAACTTGGCACAAAGCTTGACTCATAGTATGAAATTTATACTTTTATTAAAGGAAGGAATAGTGGTTAAGTATATCACCCTTCTTTCTGTGTCTTTCTCAAACTTCAGTTTCTCAAGGATAACTTTCCAGTAAAATGAGAATAGTTTCTGCTCAGCTTGATAATCAACTACCAGAAAAGAATGAATGGGACAAGAATCCCTGAATATGGATGCCATCCCATAGGTCAAATGGTATGCATTTGAGGCCAGTGGGCACTTTTATTAATTTCCTGAGGCTGCAGTAACAAATTACTCTAGAGTTCTATGGCTTAAAACAACAGAAATTTATCCTCTTACAATTCTGAGGGTCAGAAGTCTGAAATCGGTATCATCGGTTCAAAATCAAGGTATTAACAGGACCACAAGCCTTCCTGAGGTGCTAAGGGAGATTCTGTTCCTTGCCTCCCCCAGATTCTGGTGGTTGCTGGCATTCCTTAATTTGTGGCTGCTTCTCTGTCACCTCTGCCTCAATGGTCACATTGCCTTCTCCTCTCTGTCTGTTTGTGTGTGTGTCAAATCATCCTCTGCCTCTTTCTGGTAAGGACACTTGTGATTGCATTGATGACTCACTCAAATAATCCAGGATAATGTCTCCATGTCAGGATCCTTAGTTTAATCACATCTATGAAGTCCCCTTTTTCCTTATAAAATAACATTTACAGGTTCCTGGAATTAGGACCTGTTATCTTTGGGTGGCTATAATTCAGCCTACAATAACAACTAAATTAACTTAAATGAAATTAATTTTTTCTCTCTGATTGGATATGCTAGCCTTAGAGTAGGACTTTTGAAGAAATGCCCCTTAAAGAATAAAGGTTTAGGACTCCTACTTAGCATTTCTGTCAAGAAGCCAAAAATTATAGACCAAGAAACATGGCTGATAGAACAAGGTAAGATTTCTTTACCTTTGTAACTTGATGAAGTTTTCAGTTTTTGTTATCCCATATCTGATTACCAGAGGGATTAGCATTAAAACTCAAAATGAAAAGAGCCCGTGTGGTGTTTTTAGGAACAGAAAAGAGGAAACTAGGAAAATTGTCCCAGGATACAGCATAAACTGAGTGGGTAAAAGAATCCTGAGGATCTGAGTAACTGACTGGGGACATTAAAGAGAAAAGGGAACTACACCAGGCCCCTGAGGCCCTTGTCAAGGAGGAAGGGCCCACCAGGGAACCAGTGAGAAGTGGTCCAAGGGCTTAACATTCACAAGTCTGGGGACAAGTTCCAGACAGTGACTCACTCTCATCTCTACACAAAAACAAATGTAGCCTGTCATCTGATTCAGTCATTTAGGAATGTCTACTGTGCACTCACATGGCTAAGTCAGCTCCTTGAGAAATCCTGAAGAAGTTGGAGAGGTTCTTATGCCCTCAAGGACCAGATACTTTGTTGGAAAGTAAGACTTACAAATGTGAAGGCAATTGAAAAACTCCCCGAATGAAGATGTTCAGTAAAAGCTTGCTGAATAAAACTGAGTAATAATGAACTTGTGTCTAGAGTTGCCCTACTTAAAACTTTTACAAACTTTCGGATTTCATAGACTAATAAAATTTCAAAAAGAAAAAATATGGTAGTCGTGTCACAATGTATATGTATATCAAAATATCAAATTGTACTCCTTAAATATATACAATTTTAATATATCAATGATAACTCAACAGAGCTGTTAAAAAAGAAAAAATAAAGAGACAGCAACACAAACTAGACAAATTTTTGCCACGATTAGAGCAATTTTTAAACTGCAGACTAAAAAAAACAACTATGAAAATATCATTCACTTCTACATTTATTAAAGAAAATTCATTTTTACCAAAAATAATTGTAATAAATATTGACTACCTTCAGCTTC